GAGACTGGCGGTATGTATTATTCTTAATTTTTATATGTTAGGACGCAAAAATATTTTTAGCCGGTTGCGCCTTGATGAACCTTCAATGCCCTACACTTTATAATAAAAAATAACTACAATATCAAATTTTGATACAGAATAGGCATTGGATCTTAATGAACATTTTATCAATTTGCAGTCGACCACAAGTCCGACAAGGATTCGTTTCATTTCATTGTTCATTTGATACACTGTCACTACACATCTGTGGCTTGTGTTCCAGGTTTGATAACGATGTGCTGGTTGTTCACTGTGCCGTCTTGATTGAAACATTAGGTAGCCATGTAGCCAGTGCACAGTGTATTGGATGATGCATCACGTTCACATGACTCACCATGTGTACATCTATGACTTGGTTGACATGAATTTGTTTGTCTGTTGATGTTTAAATTTAGTTGATAATATGAAAACTTGATAGAATAACTGGTATAGGAGTGCTGAGTAGATTTTCTGGCAACCAACAATTGTGTAATGTAAATATGTGATAAAAAGATGACCACAAGTGAAGGTCACCAGACAAGAGCACGTACCAACTTGATAAAACACACTGTATTCATAACTGACATTCTTGAACAAAGTGGGCAGATAGAATTATATGGTTGACAAAAAAAAGACAGACATTTGGACAGATAGTAGACGTTTTTTTAGTTCTATTTTAAATGAAGAACTTACAAACAGGAAACAGACAAGACAGAAAATATGTTGTAGCTTTTTGCCCAAATCAGTCTACACAATGTCAACATGGTGATAAAGGTGAACTATACAATCAAAATGAAGATGGTTATAAATGGGCATTCACAACTTTGAGGATTTAACTGTACAAAATGATGGCCATAGTGTTATAGAACAGGAGCCTGTTGTCACTGGTCAGTGAGTGGGCCATCTCAGTGGACAATAGCCGCTCAGTGACCATCAGCCTTGGGAGGTATCAGAAAAGACTGACTTAATCAGAACAATTTTACATGCTCAAATAATAATAGTCAAATCTATACACTTAAACAAAAAACTGCCCAAAAGCACTTGTGAAAAAGTCTGGGGATATCCTTGGTATATATGTGTAGATCATGTTGAATGTAGATATGTGTTTTTAGCCTTGACTAGATTGTTGTCCTGGCTGCTTCTCATGTTAGAAGGTAGAGAGTTACATGAAGAAAGTCGTGTAGGTATCATTCACAGCAATCCCATTGTTCAAACTGGTTTAATACACTATTGACACAGCTCTCATATGTCAGTGCCTGTTGCTGACACTGGATCGGTGACAGGCAAGAATGAGCTACTGTACTTTCATCCCTGAAGTCCTCATCCTCCCAACTCATGTGCTTACTGAATAATTCATGACTAGCAGTGTGATCAGATCACTGTATACAGCATGGCAGAACAGGTCTGCCCAGGAGATCCCTGACCAACTTCTAGACTATAGACTGTAAGTGATCTTTATGACCACCCCTTACTCAGCCCGAAAATTAACATGCCAGTCCATATTTTCTTGATTAATTTCAGATTTGTTTGAAAAAAGAACAGCAGTGTAGAAGGCATATATAATTGCCAACTATATATATTCAAAATAGTTTTAGTTTCATCGATAATTTTCGCTTTTTATGGCAAATTGGTATGGATTTAAGCGTCATTCCTGGGCAGTGAAGGTTGAGTTGCCTGCTGTAGTGAACGCTGGTCAAAAGTCTCATGTTTCATTGCTACATGACTGGACACAGAGAGCACAGATCAGATATATCTCAGGTATATCGTCACTGCTTGACTTCTTCCCTCTATCTTCCTTTTTTCATCTTTCTTTTGCTTTTCTTCCTAACTTTTATTCTGGGATTTTGGTGCAGCAGTCTCCCCTACCCCAAGCTTGCTGTATGAGTAACTATAATGAGTATCGATCATTCATGATTACTTAAGTGTGATTTGCGGTTTGTCATTGTATCCTGAGGATGTGGAGTGATGTTCATGGTATCAACCACTGGTTTGCCAAGCGACAGTAAACTATGTTTATAACCAACACGCCTGTAATGAACTGACTGATATAACAAACTTATTTTTAGTCCCGGCCAGTTGTTGTATATATGCTTATAACGAACTACGGTTATTACGAACAAAAATTAGTGGTCCCTTTGAGTTTGTTATAACCACAGTTTTCTGTAATTCTGACAGCAGTGCAAAACAACATTCACTCTGTTTCTTTTTGTGAGTTGAACTCAATATGAATACCAGTCCTCAATGATCTAAGGTAATAATCTATGTACATTCATTATATACCCTGGACCTGCTCGCCACTACAGTGACCTCACTAGCTCCTCCTGATTCAGGGTAGAATTTCACTCACTCATCATCGTCAGAGGTCCTGAAATCAACAAACAATCAAAATAGAGAGATCTATATTCATGATCTTGTTTGAGTGAGCCCTCAAGATTTACTACTCAAAAGAAGTTACGGACCACCTGATTCTATCATGTTGCCTTGACAGATTAACTATAGTATTAACATAAAAGAATCAGGTGGTTTTTAACTTCTTTTGAGTAGAATATTTAATTGTTGCAGAAGACTAATGAATAACTGGTAGCTGGAAAACATTAGATTAGGTGAAATGTGAGGGAAGACCTTGTTTGTTTGGCTGCTTAAATGTTAAGAAAGAAACCCTGAAACACTTTATCATGCCTTATAGCTCTGGGGATTATTGATATTTTATTTGCTATTGATAAGCTGAAAGGTGCAGTCAAGAAACGATAACTAATGGCACAGGACCATGTAATAATAATAATAAACGAGGACTTGTCTGCAATTTTTTTGCGAGTTTGTTTATGTATTATTAGTAGTTACACGGTCCTGTGCCTTAAAATTATGCTACAAATTGTTCCTTCCCGTGAAGATCCGGGGTAGAATAGGTCTTCAGCAACCTATGCTTGTTGTAAAAGGGGACTATGCTTGTCATAAGAGGCGACTTATGTGATCGTGTGGTCAGGCTCGCTGACTTGGTTGGTCCATGTCATCGTATCCCAGTTACGTGGATCGATGCTAATGATGTCAATCGCTGGATTGTCTGGTCCAGACTTGATCATATAGCTGGAATATTGCTGAGTGTGGCGTTAAACAACAAACAAACAAACAAACAGACAAATTGTTCCGGTTGTATTTGGCAGGCAAAAGTCAGGTACAGGTGATATTGAGGGCTTTTTCAGTACATGTTCAGTGTCATCTTTCTATGTTGAGTTTGTTTGTTGGTTGTTTAATGCTGCTGTCATAGCGACTGATTTACGACATCCATTGTCTGAAGAACATTTGATTGCAAAGGCTCATTACCCTGGAGCCATGCCATCTATATGCCTTGAAACACTTAATTGCTGTTATTTATTAGATGCTAATCCTATTTGTTAATCCCCAGTTTTGTGTACATCGACCGTCTGCCATCCTGAACAGGATGTGCAAGTATGTCACTGATGATTTACTGTTTACATTTATATTTATTACTTACTAAATGTCAGGTGACCTTGGCTATATAAGCCTTGGTCCAGAAAGAGAGAGAGAGAAAAGGGGGAAAAAAAGGTCTTACCCTTAGCCTAGCTAGGGTTAGGCTGGGTGCTCCGGGGCACCTAGACACCAACCACTACCACCATGTGCTGACCTGGCACAAAGTGTCTTTTGTATGTATATATCTACATGTATAAAGTAAAACTGTATATACCGCACGCCATCGTCTCAAAGTTGTCACTTCCTACTGAGAACCATATGTCGGCCCCTTGCATATATACGAGTATACAAATTGTTCATTAATCAACGTAAGACCGACACGCGTTGATAATTTGGTGGAGAATCCGGGTATGACAGACTTCTTAGTCTGTCCTTTCCTGTACCTCTTTGCAGCATGGCATATGGTTCACAATACTGTAGGAAGTGACAGTCTCTTATTGAAAGGATATACTACCTTCAGGAACACTTCAAGATGACACTGCACTCACCAATATTCCAGCTATATGACGGCGGTCTGTAAATAATTAAGTCTGGACCAGACAATCTAGTGATTGGCATCATGAGCATCAATCCACGCAATTGGGAAAAGATGACATTGCATCAACCAAGGCAGCGAGTCTGACCACCCGATCCTGTTAGTCGCCTCTTACGACAAGATTAGTCACCTTTTACGGCAAGCATGGGTTGCTGAAGACCTATTCTAACCCGGATCTTCACAGGTCGTCTGTATTGTGATACATATTGCGATATATTTTGGGAGCTGAAGTACAGTGATTGACACTGATTGTACATGCAGATCCTATTTTCTACACAGTGAAGAAAGTGTTAGACAGTTTGGTCAATCATCGCCATTTTGGAGTCATGGACACAGGAGAGATAACATGATAGAAAAATCACTTCTGTATTTCTGCCATTTTGTCAATCAATATCAAAGGGAAATGTTTGTGGATGAATGTCTGTGTAGATGGTAGGTTAAATGAAACATATAATAACAACATTTGTCAAACTATTTTTAAATCAATATACCAGAACACACAAAAAATATTGCAATACATGTTGTTTGAAAGCGTAACACAGTATACCAGTGTACCAGTAATACTGTGCAGACCTATTCAACAGGTAATGCCAGTAACATGACCTTTTATTATTTGCATGGTGAAATATGATTTCTTGTTAATCACAAAAGTGAAACTAACTGGTGTCTCTCACAGTCACAGTCTCACACTGTGTTGACATATTCCTGGAAATTATGGAAGTTGTGTTTGGTCTTGTTTCAATGAAACATTGTCAGTCACATAGTGTGAAATACATGGAACTGAACAATTCTGAATATTATATATGCAAAGTATAAATGCACAATATTCAGAAGATTTAATATTAATTTGTTTTGCATTTATTTATGTGTGTGTTGAGGGGGTAATCAGAACTGTTTGACTTCACACATTGACTATCCATGGATGTAATTGCATATAAGTTAGGTAGGACTGTTCTACTGGAGACTGGGAGTATTCAAGGATGTAATACTGCATATTGGGTAGACAGGACTGTTCTACTGTGGGGAGTGAGTATTCAAGGATGTAATACTGCATATTGGGTAGACAGGACTGTTCTACTGTGGACTGGGAGTATTCAAGGATGTAATACTGCATATTGGGTAGACAGGACTGTTCTACTGTGGACTGGGAGTATTCAAGGGTGTAATACTGCATATTGGGTAGACAGGACTGTTCTACTGTGGACTGGGAGTATTCAAGGATGTAATACTGCATATTGGGTAGACAGGACTGTTCTGCTGTGGGGAGTGAGTATTCAAGAATGATATACTGCATATGAGGTAGATAGGACACTTTTGCTGCTCATGGTAAATACAGTCTTTCCTTGAATACATATTGAAAACATTATCAGTTGTGTAGCAAATTGTTTTAGTATTCAAAGGAAAAATAACTTTGATAATATTTTTATTGATAAAAGTCATTTTATGATAATTATGGTGTGGATTATGTTGCTTTGCAGACTGATAAATCTTCTGAGTACACAACAAACCAAGAACTGTTTGATGCCATATTAATGTGTGGTAGAAGTCAGAAAATGACACACCTCCGCTTTTCTTTGCCTTTCCAACTGCAGGGGAAATAACGTGACCAGACTCTTTGGCATAATTTGTGTAAAATATGCAAAAATTGTGAGGCATAATTTGAACATGTTGAATTTATTTTAATTTAAAAAAAGAAAACTCTTTAAGAAAACTTTTGGAGTCAACTTTCAGTCCATTTAAATACAAGTACATATAAAAACTTCTGACAGTAAGTATTATAAGAGAGGGTTAATACATTCTTAGCAGTAGGGTAGCCTCAGTGGTTAAAGCATTTGCTCGTTTCGCCGAAGACGGGTTCAATTCCCCTCATATTTACCATGTGTAAAGCCCATTTCTGAAGTTGCCCTCCGTGAAATTGCTGAAAGTAAGAACAGTTACTTTTGCCACTGAGTATACATGTGAACAATGGGACGTGTGTACTCATAATGTGGCACCTAGATGTGACCTTTCACTTCTGTTGTATCATGATTGATAACAATTATCTCCCGCAAATATCTGTTTGTCTTAGAATAAACATCCATTTTCAAGGCCTCTTGATAGTTTATTGTTGCCCTAATCATGGATAATTTGCTATTTGCAACAACACTATTCACTGAATGTATTTATGACAGCAAGTGATTGACTTTCGCACATTAGCATGTGACCCAGATACTCAGTGCCAATGACATTTACACTTATCGTCACTCTACTCGGTAGGTTGTTGAAGAATATTTGAAAGCAATTTCTATGGCCTGATGCAGTTTTTGCTTATTTTCAGGATGAGGCTACCCTAAATTTTACAAAATTAAAAAAACTAATTTTAAATGATGTGTTTCAACAATTAGTCATGTTAGTTTATGAAACCAGATTAGTTATAGTCATTTTGGTTTGGAAAAGTTTTGGTAAAAGTGATGTTATTGAAAACATGAAAGTGAGGAGCTCTTGTCTTGGTTATAAAATATAAGACCTGGGCACCATTCCACAAAGCTGTCTATGTGATACAACTGTTGTAGCTCCCATACGGTACTTTTTTTATACCCCCGATCTATAAAGTTATACCAAGGAATTCCATCTGTCCTTCATTCCATCCGTCTGTCCTTCCAGGAACATTTTTTGTGTGAGACCTATAACTTGAAAACTACTGCATAGATTCTTTTCATCTTTTCAAACTTGGTGAACACTTTTTATACCTATAGGAGAGGAACAGTTTATAGTTTGTTTTCAATGTTTGAATTTTCTGAAAAAATACAATATTTTCTTCTTCTTTTTTAACTTTGAATGTTTTTACTTCAACAATTGTGCGACCTATAGCTTGATAACTACTTCTTCATAGATTCTTTTCCAACTTGGGGTACAGCTTCCCATACCAATAGGAGAGGTGCAGTGCAAAGTTTGATTTTGCTAAGTGGATTTTCTAAGAAAATATTGTTTATTTGCTTTGAAATATCTTTTACTGTAGTCAAAGTCGGGTGTATTAGTGAGTCCTGCTCACTTTTTACCTTGTTAGATTTGTCTTTTACTTATAATACCTGTAGCCTTAGACCGTTTTGCGGATTGAGGTCGTGATTCCAAAGTGATTGAGCTGTGACAATCATTTACAATATTCATGATACTATTCTGCAGAGGTACAGCAGCTCATTAACTCAGAAATTCAGATATTTCGTATTTGTTCTAACATGTTTTCAAATTCTGTTTCAGATGATGTTCAGGAAAAATGCATTACAATTTGAAAATGACGAGACCCTGTGATAGAAAACCCGGTCTTTCCTGGTAAATCCGCATTCCGCACTACAACACCTGCCAGACTACCCAATACCACACTCCAAATACCCTATACCACACTGACAGTGTCCGGCCAGCCCAACTCCAACCCTGCCTTGCCTCACACTGCATCAGTGATCTACATAAGATTACACTAGTTTGTGTAATGATTAAATCATCTGCAATAATGAATTATTCAGTCTGCCTCAGATCAGATCTAAATCTGAATCCAGTCTCTCTGTGCGTCAAGGGAAACATTTCAAGATGAGCACGTTGAGCTGGACATCATGCTCAGTATTTATAGTTCCTCAGTGAGGTGGAGAAGTCCTGGAGATTTTACAACTCTTCTCTCACTATGGCACCATAGGATTTTATGAAGAGCCAAGAGATTTGACAATTGTATCTCGCTATACTGCACATTTGAAGACTTCTGCACTGGCTTCATTATCCCCAAGCGAGTTCCTCCCATCATCAACCTTCACACTGATTTCTTAGAACATTGTGGACTGGTTTTAATCTGACATTTGAACCAAAATTTGTCACCCTGCTGATTTGTCATAAAGCCATACTCACTCCCTCACTCCAATACATGCTGCAGATGCAATACAGTACACACCACTGCACTGGTATTTGCCAATAAAATATAAAACTGTAAGTCTAATAATGTGGAGGTACGAGTTTGTGTACATAACATGAAAGTATGATAATGTTTGCAAAATAAGTGAAGTTTGAGAGAAACATGAACAGAGGGACAGAATCATGAGTATGTAAGTTTATGTTTGTAGATTACAGGTACAAATACCGAACTAAATTAACTTAAATGATACAGATATCTATTTGAAATGTTGTCTAAAAACAAGTCTGTGAATAAAATGGAGTATGAAGTTGGAAGAAGAGCTTCATGTTTTCTGAGAAAATTTGTTTTTAGTTCTGAATTGAAACTAACATATGTCACACCCCCATCATTCCAAAACCCGCACTGCACAGGTACATGAAGATCATCTGGCCAAAAGTTTTAAATCTTTTTAAACAGACCATGAATATTTTATGATCTTCTAAAGTAGCTGTGAAATACATCTTTCTTTTTAGGAAGTGTTTGCTTTTAATTTTTGTTCTGTGATAAAAAAACATATATTTTTAATATTTCCTTAGCATCTTACAACACTAACTGTATATTCCTATTATTTAAATTATTCTTAGCCCATTTTTTTTAATCTATAAATTGCTACAGCTTTATTATTATAGCTTGCTTATGCTGAAGTCATATTGGAAAGAGTTGTGTCCCTTTAACTGTTGCCCGTAACCATCAAGGTAAATGTGACTGTTATAAAGATAATGCAAATAATGAATAAATATTAATGAAAAACATTTGTCTGAAAATATATAAATGATTATTATTCAGTTTTTATAAAATTTTATTAATAGTTTTATATAGAAAATATCTAATTAATAACTTATAGTTTGTAATTAAAGAAAAGAACATATAAAACAAATACACAAGGAACATGGACCTTTCTCAGAAATAATATATTACAACAAATATATTTGTCATAAAGATTCACTATCATGCTACCATATGTCCCTAACACAGTTCAGTCACAAAGCAACACAGAAAGTGGGAACGATCGGATTCTGAGGAGAAGAGGTGTTTTAAATCGAACAATGGCAAACCATCATTTTACTCAGTCCGTCTTTGTGACGGGGACTCCTAGAGAACACACTCCAGTCCAACAGCGTTGGATGGGTGAATCTTGTGAAGTTGTACCCCGAACGACAGGGGGATTTCAAATCTACCAACCTAACGCAGCTGCAGAGTATATGCAAAAACAGGATGAAAAGAAAGCTGATATTCGAAATGATTTAACGCGAAGTATAGAAATGGCAGCTTCCAAATACAAACATAACATTCGTAATCCTGAGATGAAGAAGATGCAGATCGAACGCTCGATAGTGTATGAGAAAAAACGAGCAATGACGAGATCATTGTATGTGTCAAGGCATCATAATGCTGGTACTCAAGAGCGAATAAGTCATCATGAATCCCTTCTTCCGGCAAAGATGACGCGTGAGCATGAATTTCAGTGCAGTTGCAAGGAGTATCATTCCCATCCTCTTGTAGTGGTGGGTACACCTGTCAACAAAAGCATTGCTGCTGAAATGCGGAAAAGGGAAAAAGTGATTGCAGCATTGAATTCATCGACTTCCAAAGTCGACACACATGATGATCCAAGAAATATTTTCTGGTCACCTGAGTTGTCCTTCCACCCTTACAAACATGGTGATTCATTGGTAGATTTTCCTTCACTTTGGCTGAAAGAGAAGGAGCTGAAGAATCACCTGAAGAACCCTGGGATACAATTGACTATGCTACGTGGTGCAGTCCTTGACCTGTGTAAGCTGGCCGTGACCTGTGGCCCTGTGCGTCTGCTGCGATGTCTCATCGATCTGTCTCTTATACGTGAGTATCATTCTTTATGGATGACCCTCGTTAACCCCAAGGCAAATGAGTTAACTGACTATATAAGTCCAGTTTCCACCCTTGCTGAGCTAGGCTGGTATTATGGAGTTACATTTTGGCTGGACTAACGAGTCTATGCATAATCCAATCACAATTACGCAACGAAATAGAAATCCGGTTCGTAAACTGTGATGCAGTTTTAGGTTGATTGCAATATTTGCAAAGCATGTGCACCAACAACTCATTGTCAACAGTTATTTTCCAAAACTTTTCATGTTTTTAATCAAGGTGCTCACGTGATTTGATGCACTTCGGGATGTAAGACCCGTTTTATCACAATTTAGATCTTGATTATCAATCAGATCGTCTTGACTGGGTGCCGCCATTGTTTGAAGCAAATGCAAGTGATACGAGAGGTGGAATCTGATTGGTCCATAGGAGAGGCATAGAAGGGACATAACTCGAAATCCCCACTGGTGGGGCTACGGTCGAGCCCAGTAACTCCAGCCTTGTTCGGGTGGAAACTGGACTTTAAATGTAGTTATTTCTCTTGCCTCGGGAAGATGCGTTAGAGCAGACCAAGTACAAAAAACAATATATCGTTGTCAACATTTATATATTTGTTTAATATATGTAGATGTTATATTATTAAATGCAACATTTACTCTGCAACCATTATTTTTTAATCCAGAAATTTCACAGTACCCTCCAGATTAACGAGATCTTGGCGTATACTTATGGCATGTTTGTTTGAAACAACATTCTTTTGGAACTGAAGTGAAACACCATGTACCTTATTTCATGTATAGGAAGTATCTATGGTGAAAGCATTACTATGTTTATGTGTTCCCGTATGTATTGCCGTGATAGAGAGTGTATGCAGCTGTGAATCCATCAATATTTTTGTGTTCCCATGTTTATTTCCATAAGAATAAATACAATCATTGTTAATGGGTGATTCTAGATTTGCAAGAATGAAGCTTGGATAAAATAAAAAACCCAACTTTGTTGGATTGTGAAAACAGAAAACAAATTTGAAAGGTTGAAAGAAGAGAAGAAACTTTTTTAATATCAAAGTGTTCATACAACATATTGTAACAGCAAAAATCCAACATCTTTAGTCTTTTTCATTACTCTTAAATGAGCATTCTGAAAAATAATATTTCCAGAAATATTCAGGTGAGCTACGGAGATTTGTTACTCGTTTTCTTCACAGAGATTGTTGTGATACTTAATGAGCTGCATCATGTCCAAGGCATATCTTCAACAAGGAAAATAATAAAATATTCTTCGTGGATATGATATTTGATCTATTCCCCACCTAAATCCCTCAGTTGTTGAGTTGTATACCAGGTTACAGGTAATAATTTCGATGAGAAGTTTTTATCCTGTATGGCTCATTTTATTTCATGTACACTTATGTTTGTGGAACATTCATGAAAGTGTACCGTATATAAAAGATATGCCGGCAAGGATGCAACATTTCCTGAAATGGGGGAGGTGGGGTATCCTAATAGTTGAAGCATTTGCTTGTCGTGCTGATAGCCCAGGTTAGATTCTCCACATAGGTACAATGTTTGAAGCCCATTTCTGATGTCCCCCACTGTGATTTTGCTGGGATATAGCTAAATGCGGGCTAAATCCAACTCATTTATTCATTTAACCTGAAACATTTTACAAGCCTGAAGAACACCCACTTATGCCGGAAACTCTACTCGCCCTTTGGATATACTCTCAAGTTCACTTGTGTCAATTAGCATCCCTGTGGCATGTCTTTACTCAATAGTTGCCAATATATATGCCCCCTTCTCTCCCCAAACAACATTTTGTGTTTCTAGACCCCACCTGCACCATTTTCAGGTAGAATATTGGGTAGTCCAGTGGGCACCCAGGTCCTACTGACGTCCCACCCAACTCGAGTACCCGAGTTACCCATCCCAGACCTAATCAGAGGCAAATAAGAAGAACAGATCATGCCACAGGAGGTTTCTAAGAATTGTTAGCCAGGCAGGGATGTGAATACTGATGTGGTGCATTGTTGAACCCCATGATGACTTGCTAATGCCACACCGACCACAAACAGGAACTAAGTCATACAAGCATGTGACATGGCAGGAGGATATAAACATTTGTATTTTGAAACACGATTGTCATAGGTCTGCAATTTGATCTTGTGATGCAGCTGTGAGATTCAACAAATTATGGGAATGTAGGTAAGAGTTTTTTTTGCATTGGATGAAGAGAAGATATTTGTTTGTTCTTATCAAATAACATGTTTTATCTCATTGAGTGACACAGCCACGAGTGGCAATGTCAACATTGTCAGGCCACTGGATGAGATAAACATGATAGTTGACAAGAAGGGACAACTGTTCTCTTAATCATGTATTTTCTTTATGAACTCTCTCTGAAAACCATTGTCATAGAGGCGATTGAAAGTACCAGTTGTTCTGACATTCAGTATTACTTCTCTAAAGTGAATATTGATTTAAAAAACAGCATATTTAGAGTCCAACGCCCTGTGTTAAGACAGCTGTACATCAGCTGAGTAAAGTACTGTTTTATACAGGATATTTGAGTAATCTTGCCAAATGAAATGTTTAGCTTATCTGTGATATTTTCATGAGTGACCCAGCTATGTGGAACTCTCGACATTTTGTCAAGATGAGACAAACATGTTGTTTAACAAGAAAAGACAAATGTTCAATGTTTTACCAGGGCTTGATTTAGCTATATATAATATGCACCAGTGCAACCTATGTACAATGAATACATAATAGCATCAGTTGTATGGAAAAAATGTATTCTCCAGTTTTGTTTCCTGCATAAGTTGAGTATAGAGAACTGTGTAGAACTTAATCAGTGAACTTACAATCTGCTATTGTGTTCTCTTGAAAAAATGAGTTGTAATCTGGAGATAGACACTACTGCACTGAATGAACAGGTAAGACAGCAACTTCAGACTAAGCTGATTTTTTTAGGCATGTTAACAAACTAGCTTTTATAAGCCTGCACATGAATGGTTTGAACTTCATTGATTTTTATAGTTGATGTCTGTGTTACAGTGTGAATGCCATTTGCTGTTATGTAGCTTGGTTTCTGCTAAACCTCAGTGAAAGAAGAGAGTGGGAGAGAGTTGTACTTAACTTGTACAGAGTATTATTTTACTTGAACAGAGTGATACTTCACTTGAATAGAGTGATATTTTACTTGAACAGAGTGATACTTCACTTGAATAGAGTGATATTTTTCTAGAAAAGAGTGATACTTCACTTGAATAGTGATATTTTACTAGAACAGAGTGATACTTCACTTGATTAGAGTGATATTTTACTAGAACAGAATGATACTTCACTTGAATAGTGATATTTTACTAGAACAGAGTGATACTTCACTTGAATAGAGTGATATTTTACTAGAACAGAGTGATACATCACTTGAATAGTGATATTTTACTAGAACAGAATGTTTCTTCACTTGAATAGAGTGATATTTTACTAGAACAGAGTGATACTTCCCTTGAATAGAGTGATATTACTAGAACAGAGTGATACTTCACTTGAATAGAGTGATATTACTAGAACAGAGTGATACTTAACTTGAACAGAGTGATATTTTACTAGAACAGAGTGATACTTTACTTGAATAGAGTGATATTTTACTAGAACAGAGTGGTAATTACCTTGAACCAGGTTTTGTTTTACTTGAACAGAGCTACTTAAGTAGAGTATCATTGCTTTACTAGAACACACTGTGACAACAGTTGGACATCTCACTGTAATTTTGCTGTGATGTCACAAATAAATATCTCACTGTTACACTGCTGTGATGTCACAGTTGAACTTTCACTGTAACACTACTGTGTTGTCACAGTTGAACATCTCACTGTAAGGTTGCTGTGATGTCACAGTTGAACATCTCACTGTAACACTACTGTGATGTCACAGTTGAACTTTCACTGTAACACTACTGTGATGTCACAGTTGAACATCTCACTGTAAGGTTGCTGTGATGTCACAGTTGAACATCCCACTGCAAGGTTGCTGTGATGTCACAGTTGAACATCTCACTGTAAGGTTGCTGTGATGTCACAGTTGAACATCTCACTGTAACACTACTGTGATGTTACAGTTGAACTTTCACTGTAAAACTACTGTGATGTCACAGTTGAACATCTCACTGTAAGGTTGCTGTGATGTCACAGTTGAACTTTCACTGTAACACTACTGTGATGTCACAGTTGAACATCTCACTGTAAGGTTGCTGTATATGTCACAGTTGAACATCTCACTGCAAGGTTGCTGTGATGTCACAGTTGAACATCTCACTGTAAGGTTGCTGTGATGTCACAGTTAAACATCTCACTGTAACACTACTGTGATGTCACAGTTGAATATCTCACTGTAACACTACTGTGATATCACCGATGAACATCTCACTGTAACATTACTGTGATGTCACAGTTGAACATCTCACTGTTACATTACTGTGATGTCACGGTTAAACATCTCACTGTAACATTACTGTGATGTCACAGCTGAATACCTCACTGTAAGGTTGCTGTGATGTCACAGTTGAATATCTCACTGTAACACTACTGTGATGTCACAGTTAAACATCTCACTGTAACACTACTGTGATGTCACAGTTGAATATCTCACTGTAACACTACTGTGATGTCACAGTTAAACATCTCACTGTAATATTACAGTGATGCCACAGTTGAACATCTTTTCCCTGTTATCTTAAAGGTTGGCCACAACATCATTGATAGTGTGATCATTTTTGATTAACATGTGGATGGGCAACTAAAAACATCTGCTGCAAGGAGGACTTGAAATGAAAAGAGTTCTCTATTTTAACAGTTATTTCAATGCATTGTTTACATAAGGCCATTGGAACTGTGTTTTTAAGTAAAAGGGTGACTACAATAGAATCACTAGTGGGAGGTTAAATATTTCAGTTGAGACCCACCAACCAGTTTCTAAAGAAGTAAATAA